GCCATTAAAGATATTTGCATTTCTTTCAGACCTGCTATAATAAATGATAACGTGCAGCCAGCTTGTCTCCCAGAAAAGGACTATATAGTTTCCAGTACAGCAGAGTGTTTTGTAACTGGATGGGGTGAGACTCAAGGTACGTCACATAGATGTGTGCTTTTTTTTTAATGTCTGTGGATCTTATTGTAATGACAGAGTAAAAACTGACTGATACAAACTGATACAAATCACACGTTTATGTGCTTTTAATCAAAGTTTGTTTGAAGCCACATCTGGTCCTCATAAACATAGGTGGGACATCAAGTAGGCAGGATTTTCTTGTTGATAATAGCCACTGTTTCACAAGTTTTATTTTCTTCTGTTTCATTTGAAGTTAGTTTTTTTTCTAACAAAGATGTATTAGTGCTATAGTGATACCCATTCACATCTTTTTCTAGCATTTTTGTTCTTGATTAAAGAAAATGTTTAAAACAAATGTTTGAAATGTTTTCACAGTTGCTTTACAACTCATGATACACTGTAAGCTGAAAAACTCATTCGCACACTTTAGAAATGCCAATATAGAGGTGATTGACACAGAAGGAAAATCATTGAGTGCAATGAAAACCTTTCACCAGCAAGTGGCAGAATTTGAACAATAAGCTTTACTGTGGCTCTATATCGACCAGCAATAATTACTATTTTTTAACATAATTTCTAATTAATGATTCTTTGTTAATTAAACACATTACATCTTGGACAGGGAGGTTTAGCAGTTTGGTCAATTCTAAAAGTTTTTTAAAACTTTTTGAACACTGTAAATAATTGTCAGCGCTCTATAACACAAGAAACTCCACTGTACATGTATTGCTACACATCTTATGACGATGGCCATGAGGAGGAGGAAGGTAATTGCACACAGGTGTGTTGGCAGGTACAGGAGGTGATGGTGTCCTGAAAGAAGAGGGTTTTCCGATTATCGAGAACAAGGTGTGTAATCTACCAGAATACCTGAATGGCAGAGTTCAAAACAACGAGATGTGTGCCGGATATATCGAGGGAGGAGCGGACAGCTGCCGGGTATGAAAAACACAAACCTATGAAAACTGGGGAATGTTTATAAAATGTGTGTGTTTTACTTCATCTTACTGACCTGACATATTTTAATAGATTTCCAGAAACTAATGACTGAAAAAATGAATCAGATATATAAATGTTTCATTTATTTACAACAGTTCAACACAGAATTTAGTAATAGTAATAATGTTTCTATAGTAAATTCAAACAGTTAATTATTCTCCACCCATCCATCCATCCATCCATCTTCATCTGCTTTATCCGGGGCCGGGTCGCGGGGGCAGCAGCCTAAGCAAAGAGGCCCAGACCTCCCTCTCCCCAGCCACCTCCTCCAGCTTATCCGGGGGAATCACCAAGGCGTTCCCAGGCCAGCCGAGAGATATAATCTCTCCAGCGTGTCCTGGGTCTGCCCCGGGGCCTCCTCCCGGTGGGACATGCCTGGAACACCTCACCCAGGAGGCGCCCAGGGGGCATCCTTGTCAGATGCCCGAACCACCTCAGCTGGCTCCTTTCGATGTGGAGCAGCAGCTGCTCTACTCTGAGCCCCTCCCGGATGGCCGAACTTCTCACCCTATCTCTAAGGGAGAGGCCAGCCACCCTTCGGAGGAAGCTCATTTCTGCCGCTTGTATCCGCGATCTCGTTCTTTCGGTCACTACCCACAGCTCGTGGCCATAGGTGAGGGTAGGGACGTAGATCGACCGGTAAATTGAGAGCTTCGCTTTTACACTCAGCTCCCTCTTCACCACGACGGACCGGTGCAGCGTCCGCATTACTGCAGCTGCAGCCCCAATCCGTCTGTCGATCTCCGGCTCCCTTCTCCCATCACTCGCGAACAAGACCCCGAGATACTTGAACTCCTCCACTTGGGGCAGGAACTCATCCCCGACCCGGAGTGGGCACTCCACCCTTTTCCGGCTGAGAACCATGGCCTCAGATTTGGAGGTGCTGATCCTCATTCCCGCTGCTTCACACTCGGCTGCGAACCGTTCCAGTGCGAGCTGGAGGCCCTCACCCGATGAAGCCAACAGAACCACATCATCTGCAAAAATCAGAGATGAGATTCTGAGGCCACCAAAGCGAAAGCCCTCCGCCACTTGGCTGCGCCTAGAAATCCTGTCCATAAAAATTATGAACAGAACCGGAGACAAAGGGCAGCCCTGGCGGAGCCCATCACCCACCGGGAACGAGTCCGACTTATTGCCGGCAATGCGAACCAAGCTCTTGCAACGGTTGTATAGGGATCGAATGGCCCGTAATGTAATTTAATATAAACTCAAAGATGCTTTGACATTTGTGAAATTTACAGATAAAATGACCAAAATCAAATAACTTGCATGTGGAACTGTACAATAATCCAATACTTGGAAAAATCTGATTGTATAACAGGTAATTTATGCTTTTGATACGAATGTTTAATTATATTAAATAAAACCTGTTAGTCCAGCTAAAACTACACATACTTGTTTTAACTTTTTACATCCGTTCTTCCATATGTGGTTTATACAGTAAGGATTTTCTGAGTACATTAACATTCCAAGTCGTAGCTTTAATATGAATAGGTTTACATCAACACAGAAAGAACTGTGTGGGAAAAATGGCAGTTTTAACATGGCATACCCAGTTGCAAGGGTTTGTTGTCCTTGAAAAAGAAAATTAAAAAGAGCTCACTCATAGTTTGACATCTTTCAAGCTGAAGTTGTCAAACAGTATGAGGAGTAATGATGTGGCTATGCAAATGAAAAATATAAGAATCAAATATTATGAATTTGCTTTCTTACACATGCATTTAAGATCATTTGGGGAAAACCGGCTTGGGCTATTTTTCCACAGCTGTCCTTTCTTACATGTAGCACTCAACAGGTAAACAGTTTCAAATACTGAAAATTCTTCAAGTGTGTGAGGTGAAAGAGCTGCTTTGATGGAGCATACAGAAAGCAGTAAAATCACTTTGGTGAATGCAGTGGTCAGCTGTTCGTGTCATTCAAACATCAATTTCACTCGAGCAACAAACAGACTTTTCACTATTTAGCTGGGAGGTTAAAGATCAGACATTTTTTGTCAGGTGATTCTGCAAAAGTTCACAGAGGAAGTTCTTTGGTTTGCCAGAGTTATTGGGGTTCTTTCCAGAAAATTATTATAGAAATGTTGGAGAACTTCAGTCAACCCGAGTAGCAGAAGTTAAAGACAAAGATCAAAGGTTATTTGCGTGGCTGCAAAGAGTGTCATCAACACTCTTGAGGATTTAAGTAAACACTTGACTTTGTCTATTGTGTGTTAAAAAGGCTAAACAGCACACATCACTTTCAGTATTGGCACAAGCATATTTTGATTAAACATACACATTCATTAGACATGGAAACATGGAAAAACAAGCCCAAATATTTACAGTGTGGACTGTAGACATAGAAAATTTGTGTTGCTTCTAAAATGGATGGGAAATAACTAAATACGAATGTTTTGTTTTTGTAGTTTCAGGTATTTGGCTTATTTCCTGAGCCATTCTCACTTTTACCCCCATCATTTTAACACAAATATGTTTACTTTCTAAGAAAGAGATTTTTAATATTCCAAATAGTTTATTTGGCAAATATGCACTAGTTTATTGCTTACACAATAATGCAGAAAAAACCCAACTTCCTTCGTGTTTCCTGCTCTTTTCTAGGCTGGTTTCAGCAGCTGTTAACTTAAACATAATCAAAAACTGTAGTTATTTCTACACATGTGTTCTCCTCCTGTAGGGTGACAGCGGTGGTCCTCTGGTGTGCTATGAGCAGAACAAGTTCGTCGTGCAGGGTGTCACATCGTGGGGTCTGGGCTGCGCCAATGCCATGAAACCTGGTGTCTACGCTCGAGTGTCTAAGTTTAAGGACTGGATAGACACAACCATCAAAGCCAACTAAAAGCTATCATCTGCAGTGTGTTTACTGAGGATGTCTTAACCTGTATGTATTGTTCTGCTCCGGCAATGATTGACTTCATGACATGGAGTTTTTCAGTTTTCTATTCTCTCCTGAAGTGGATAGACTAAAAGCAGAGCAGCTTACTGGTTTCAAAAGCAATGAAAATGTTTCTGTAACAGGTTAAACTTTTTTTTTTTTAGAAGCCATGCTTTACAGAAAATGCATTACAAATCTACTTCTTTGTGGTTACATTGAGTGAAATACAAGATAAAGATTCAGTTGTTGTTTCCTACTTGATTGTGTGTGACTTAATTTAGTTTTAAGACATTCCTACAGTTTAACCAATCCGTCTTCATAGATAAAGCTGGGTGTCATCAGCACAGCAGTTAAAATGTATACTATGTTCTTTCCATAGCTCAACATCCCTTACACCACGTATTGTCTGATCATAGCGCCAAACAAAGTTCACGACCTTCAACTACCTGACTGAGCTTCAACTCTTTAAATAAGCACAGAAATGCAAAGTGTATATAAAATGATTACAACTACACCTGTAATGAAAAGGTTAGTACGTGATTATGATAACACCAGTAATACAAATTATAACATAATACCAACAGCGTCAATCAATGTTTTTGATGAGAATGAGAATTAATGCAATGGTTAATGATAATGGTTATGAATAGTAGCAGTAAAATATTTCCCTGATCTCCACAACATGAGCAAATTGGAGTCTATTAGACCACTGCAGCACAGTACCTGTAATACAAATAAGCATGCTCTAATTGATGTAATAAAATATTATGATCAACAGTATTGAAAGCTGCACTGAGGTCTAACAGGACAAGCACAGAGATGAGTCCACTGTCAGAGGCCATGAGAAGATCATTTGTAACTTTCACTAAAACGGTTTCTGTACCGTGGCGAACTCTGAAACCTAAATGCAAAAGGTTAACATCAGCTTACAAAAGAGTTGAAAGAGACAACTGAAAACATAAACTCATATGAAAAGTGTTTACTGAGGTTATTAATTAAGTGAAGGCACAGATGATGGCGCACTTTAAATCTTATAACAGTAAATGTTTTAAATGAAAATACTTGAAGCTTGGTTGCATTAAAGATAACTTTAATAACTGTATGACGTGGTTCCATAAAAAGACACAAGTTAGTCTAAACACTAAACACTGTGCACAAAGAAAAACTGAGAAATTGTTCAAATTGGCTCCTAAAATAAAAATCAAGGAAGTAACTATTATATCCACAAGCAACACTGTTAAACAGCATAAATAAATACTTTGGTGTGCAAAGGAGCTTAAACAGTTGCCCGATCTTTGTTGGATGCTGTATTTTGGTAGTTGGGCAGCAGGTTCACCATCTGCTGGTTCTTCAGTCCGATTTTCTCCTTTGCTCTGAAAACACAAAGTCGCGTTATACACATCAACTACAAAGCTACAAGTCTAAAACACCCATGCATTATTATTCATAAATCTGATTGTCAATCAGAACATAAATCAACAGCTTTTCTGATAACTGATTACTTGTTTTAGTCAGTTTAAGCAAAAATACTAAATGTGCTGTGTTGGGGGAAAAAAAAAGTCTCTCAATCTGTACTTACTATAGATACAATAACAGAGATATAACGGGATTTAAAGGGGCTTAATTTTCCTACTGCACTAACTACTCACTTTTCTGGGAACTCAATGTCGTCGATGGTATCGGGCAGCGGTACGCCTCTGGTCTCAGGGAGCAGCAGCACCAAACCTCCAGCCAGGAAAGCCAGAAACCCTACACAACACAATTCAATAATGCATTTAAGCTTTGATAGTCACATTTATCTGACTTTTACTCTCAGAAAACCCACCAAAGATGATGAGTGGCAGCTCCAGCCAGATCACAGCCAGTCTGTAGAGCAGGAATGGAGCCACAATGCCTCCAACATCACACAGAGTGGAACAAACAGACACTCCGAGGTTCCTAAAGACATAAAAACAGCATTTCTTTTAATCTACTAAAATAAAGTATATTTACTTTTTAAACTTTTGATGCGAAGACATGTTTGAAAGGCTAAATATCCACAGTTACATTAGTTATCTACATACAAATACAAAAACAGATGGATTTGGACAGGTTCTGAAACTGTGACATAAAAGAAAAGGATAAAAGTTCATATTTTGATCAGTTTCACACTTAGATTATCAGGTACAGCTTCAAACAGATTTGGCAGCAGTCTAAGCTTTCTGTGAGCACAGTTCTATCAATAGTGATTTGTGATGTTCTTTTGTTATACACAGAATTTACTGTTGTTTACTGATTACCTTAGTTGATGTATAAATTATACCTGTTCATCCCAAACACAATACATTTTTTGTATTATACCTGACAAATGTCGGGTAGAGCTCAGTGTTAACAAACACCACCATCTCAAAGGTCATCGTGATCCCCAATCGGCCGATGCATGCCACTGCCGTCTTAAACCAAAACATGCCTGCAAGAACAGACAGAACCATTAAAAGAAAACTTGGAAATCAACGTTCAAGAGCACTAAGAAAAATCACTCACTGTCAGGAATAAAGGCAGTGATGAAACAGGAGACTCCAGCTACAAAATTAGCCGTGGCGAAGGGGAGGCGTCGGCCGATGCGCTCAATGGTGAACAGGATGAGGAAGGCGGCAGGAAACTCCACCAAGCCAGAGATGAGGAAGTCGATATAGACATTTCCTCCCAGAATGCCCAGCCTCATGATCAAACCCTGGTAGACGACAGCACTGGTGAACCTGGGAGAAAAAACATCTCATTAACTTCGAATCTTTATCCTAAATTCCATCCATCCATTTCCTTCCGCTTATCTGGAGCCGGGTCGCGGGGGCAGCAGCCCAAGCAGAGAAGCCCAGACCTCCCTCTCCCCAGCCACCTCCTCCAGCTTATCCGGGGGAACGCGAAGGCGTTCCCAGGCCAGCCGAGAGATATAATCTCTCCAGCGTGTCCTGGGTCTGTCCCGGGGCCTCCTCCCGGTGGGACATGCCTGGAACACCTCACCCAGGAGGCGCCCAGGGGGGCATCCTTGTCAGATGCCCGAACCACCTCAGCTGGCTCCTTTCGATGTGGAGGAGCAGCGGCTCTACTCTGAGCCCCTCCCGGATGGCCGAACTTCTCACCCTATCTCTAAGGGAGAGGCCAGCCACCCTTCGGAGGAAGCTCATTTCTGCCGCTTGTATCTGCGATCTCGTTCTTTCGGTCACTACCCACAGCTCGTGGCCATAGGTGAGGGTAGGGACGTAGATCGACCGGTAAATCGAGAGCTTCGCTTTTACACTCAGCTCCCTCTTCACCACGATGGACTGGTGCAGCGTCTGCATTACTGCAGCTGCAGCCCCAATCCGTCTGTCGATCTCCGACTCCCTTCTCCCATCACTCGCGAACAAGACCCCGAGATACTTGAACTGACAAGGTTTGTCTGTCCAAGGGATCCCAGGGGCTATGTTGTCTGGGGGCTTTTGCCCCCTGGTAGGGTCTCCCATGGCAAATTGGTCCTGGGTGAGGGACCAGACAAAGAGCAATTCAGAAGACCCTTATGAGGAAAACATCAAGGGAACAGTTTACCCCGCCCAGAATAGGGTTACGGGGGCCCCGCCCTGGAGCCAGGCCTGGGGAGGGTGCCCAAGGCCAAACGTCTTGTGGCCGGGCCTTAGTCCATGGGGCCTGACCGGGCACAGCCCGAAAAAGGGACATGGGCCCATCTTCCTGCAGTCCCACCACCCGCAGGAGACACACGTAGGGGTCGGGTGCAATGTGCGTCAGGCGGAGGGCCTGGCGGACCGATTCCCGGCTACCAAGACTGGCAATTGGGAGACTTTATCCTAAATAGATTTTTTTTTTATTTTTGGATAAAGAAGAGTCATTTACAATAACAGTTGTGTCCTGCTTTAATTGAATCCTTACCAGTTATAGCTGAGGATAAAAGTGTGTTTTCGCATGTTTGGCGTTCTGATCAGGTCCATGAAGGAAGCGGTGGTTGAGTCTGCGTTATCATCTTTCAGGGTCTGCAGGATCATTTATATAACATCACATAGTAAAAGTATTTCTGGTTGTTTTCATGCCTTAGCTTCAGCCTGTTTTACTATGTTTCTCTATGAAAAAAAATCTCACAAAAAATAATGCAGTCTAATCCAATCCATATCGTGTCTTTTTCATGGAAGGCTTGAAACCGCTTATTGCATCTTTTAAAACAGCATGGCTTCAAAGTAGAAGAGTTCAGGTACTGAACTGGCTTGCCTGGAGTCCAGACCTTTCACCAACCAAAAACATCTCGTGTATCATGACATGAAAGACACAACAAGCAAGACCCAGAACTGTTGAGGAGCTACATTTTCATCAGACACAAATGGGACAACATTTCTCTCTCCAAAGTCCACAAACTGGTATTTTCAGTTCTCACACATTTACAGGAATGTAAATCTATTTCTATTTCCTAAAATGTAAGTTTTATCTCACTTAATAAGTCACAATGAATTAGACTTCAAATTGTCATGTTATCTGCTGATAGAATTTGATTCCAGGTAACAGATGCAGAGATTTTGTGTCCAATGGCTACCTCGATGTTCTTGGAAAGAGTCATCTTGTTTTCTTTGGCTATGTCCTCTGTGATCTTCACTGCTTTGGAGTTTTGGTTTTGAGAGAGAAGCCATCTCGGAGACTCTGGGATGAACCTGGAAATGTAAAATGTCAACAACAAATCTGTTGTTAAATACAAAACTATTTAAAGGTACAAATTCTTTCTTTTTTTAATTGATAATGACAAATTATCAGTAGGTGCGTGTATTTTTTCACTAAGACAAAGAGATTTTGGGGTTTTATTTTAAGGTTTAATGGGTCGTACAAAGAAAGAACAGGCAAAACAGACAACCCACGTAAGGGTAGCATCTGATAAAATATAGTGCTAAAGGTGCACAGGTTGACATAGCGGCAAAAAACTAAAGGTAATAATATCTTTTCTCCACAGTACCTCTGGTGTGATATACCCTCATTGGCTCTACAAAGGAAAACATTTATTCTAAACCTGCATTTAAAATGTATTAATATGTATATAATAACTGGATAATGTTTTTTTTTTTAGCATAAGTGAGAAGACTACTCATTTTTATAAAACATTTGGAAATGACTACAAGACACAGATTTCTAACATTTTAAAATCACCTACATGTCACTGAAATTGGCTACAGCCCAAATTAATATGTTAAATAAAAGTTGAAAGATGGGTTAATAAAACTTCATTCATACTGCTGTATGTGGTTGTGGTGACTCTTACCAGTAGTAGGACAGGAACAGGATGTAGGGGATGGTGATGACGACCTGCAGCCAGCGCCAGTCTGTTATATAGTAGGCGAGCAGAGGGAGGATGAGGATGCCGATACTGAAGAACATCTGGTAAATTACTCCGACTGTACGTCTGAACTCCACGCCCACGATCTCTGTGACTGAGATGAATAGAGGAAGGTGTGTGTTGGAGTCAAATTGTTAAATGTTGTCACTGTTTTACTTAAATTTGTAAGTCTTAGTTCAAGCAGCAGGATCAAAGACATGCCTTTGTCTCTGACCACCTCTCCAGCCTGTTGGACGGTGGGGGAGGCTGCATTGTTTTATTTAATGGAACATCCTGTGTGAGGGTTCTGTTTTGTTGTTTAGTAACTTCCTGCTTTTATGACCCTTTTGCGCACGCACACACACACACGCACACACACACACACACACATACACAACACAACACACACACACACACACACGCACACACACACACACACACACACACGCACACACACACACACACACACACACACACACACACACACACACACACAGCCTTATCTTTTGTAACCATAGGGGGGGTTTACTATGGCAGGTGCTTGTGTGTACTGTAACTGTTTTCAATAAAAGGCGTTCAGCTCCAAAACCCTGGTTCTGACCAGTCTCCCTTGCTAGCAAGTAAAAGCTGTTCAGGGAATGACTATCCTTGATTGACTGTGGTGAAAAGCAAAGGTAAAGGTTGTAAGGTGGTCTTACTCAGCACATATCCAGCTACCCAGCCTCCTTTCACTCCAAACCCATAGAGAGTCCTGAAAACCAGTAAAGATATGTAGTTTGGAGCCACGGCCACCAGGATCCCTGAAACCCCATTCAGCAAGTTGGATATGAGGAAGCTCATTTTCCTGCCAAACCTGAAGTCAGACATCAACAATCATCACATTGCTGTAAGTCCGTCTCACATAATGTCAATTATTTGGTCAAGCAAGTGCTAAAAACAACAAGAAAAAAATATAAATAGATAGTAATTTAATGTATTTTGAGTCAATTTTCAATCACTGTCACAATCATAGCCTAACCTGTCAGCCAGGTAGCCAATGGCAATACTTCCAACTAGGAACCCCACGTTCAGAGTGGCCTGAAACATGTCCACCAACCATGCATTCGAGCACACCAGGTCAAACTGGGAAAACACAAAGTGAAAAATGTCCTGAATCTGTCAAAACAAATTGTATGGCATGCTGCCCATGTTTTTGTTCATTTTATGAACAACACAAAATTACCATATTAGTCATTAATAAATCTTTGCTTGGGATATGGACATATTTAGGTTTTACCAAAGTAGTCAGATTCTCTGAGCAACACAGTTCTCTTTTTATTTATGTGTACACACACACACACACACACACACACACGTACAAAAACAAATTCCCTCTCGCCCCTGCGGGCGGTCAATCCTTCAAGCTCGGGTCCTCTACCAGAGGCCTGGGGGCGTGAGAGTCTTGCGAAGTATCTCAGCTGTATCCGAGCTCTTAGCTGGACAGAGATCTCCGATGTCGTTCCTGGGATCTGCTGGAGCCACTGGTAGGATTTCTGGATATCAGCCACCTCCTCTATCTGCCGGTGGTACATACCGTGCAGGGGCCTCTCCTTCCATGATGGTTCCTCCTCTTCCTCGTCATTCTAGGGTTTCTGTTGCCCGAGGTATTCACTGAGCACTCGGTCAGTTGGGGTCATCTTCCTGATGTATTCCTGGATGTTTTCTGCGTCCTCCTGGTCTGGGGTACTGACACTCATTAGTCCCCGGCCTCCTTCCTTCCGCTTAGTGTACAGCCTCAGGGTGCATGACTTGGGGTGAAACCCTCCATGCATGGTCAGGGGTTTCCTGATGTTGATGTCAGTGGCTTCTATCTCCTCCTTTAGCCCACTTATTATCCCAGCAGGGTAGCTGATCACGGGCAGGGCGTAGGTGTTGATAGCCCGGATCATGTTCTTGCCGTTCAGCTGACTCCTCAGGACTTGCCTGACCCTCTGCAGGAACTTGGTGGTTGCAGCTTTACTAGCGGCCTCTTCATGGTTCCCATTCGCCTGCGGGATCCCCAGGTACTTGTAACTGTCCTCTATGTCTGCAATGTTGCCTTCTAGTACTTTGTTATCATCCAACTACATTTCTCCAGTCCGACTGACATTCCAATGTCATTGCTGTATATTCTGGTGGTGTGGATCAGTAAAACAATGCCTCATTCATTCTTGGCATATAGCTTGATGTCATCCATGTACAGGAGATGGCTGACAACTGTATCGGTATCCGTAACCAGTCTTGTTAATGATCTCAGGGGTTCAGGCCTGTGCAGAACAGCAGTGGGGACAGAGCATCTCCTTGGTAGATCCTGCACTTGATGGTGACTTGTGCTATGGGCTTGCAGTTGGCCTCTAGTGTTGCCCCCTGAGAGCCTTCCTGATGAAGGTTCTCAGGGGTTCCTTTGATCTTGTATAGTTCTAGGCATTCCAGGATCCAGGTGTGGGGAATTGAGCCGTAGGCCTTCTCGTAATCAATCCAGGTCTTCTCATAACCAATTAGTGGATTCCCATTCATTTCCTATACCGGTCCCATAGGTCATACATATATATGTGCATAACAATTTTATTAGAGGAAAAGTAGAACACTTACAATGATTGCTGTAAAATGTTATCTGCACATACAAGATAGATGGATATGTATATATATACACCCACTTTTTTCCCCTCACACATTAAAATCTATTAAATAGAAAAGCCTGAACATTTTTCTGTAAAATCTTTGAGCACCCAATTAAAAAACACTTCACATTGCCAGAGAATGCTTTCTGAATGATATATAGTTATATTTCATTACAATGCAAAAATAAAGCATGCAGAATCTTTTTAAGAAATTCTTTCTCAAAAATAAAGAAAATGCAATTTTCATTCAACTTTCATGTTGGATTGAGCAAATATGACAAGCTGCCCCACAAAAGCAACAATAGCAGTAGACTTAATCTAAATTTTACCAATTATAAATCAATAAAATAACTAAAAAAAACAAAATAAATATATTTAAATATAGACAAATATAAATATCTTTATCAGCGTGGGACTTTACAGGCTGGCTTGAATTTTTTTTGCATATTTTAATTAGCCAACAGACCTTTTTTGCATTTGCCCCAAATTACAGTTCCAGGCTTTTACCTTTAATATTATTTGAGATATTCATGTTCAGACTCTGCCGCAGATTTCAAGGTGCAAAAGAAGCAAAAAATTACTTTAAGTCAAGACTGAATGACCCCTTTTTTAAAAAACAAATCATTATTTCTGTTTTCTATATTCCAAGCTGCGTCATGTTGTTGAATTCAGTCTTTTACTCAAAAAATATTTTGTCTACGTTTTGTTTTTTGGTCTGTGTGTGTTGGCTGTGACCTCTTGTTCCCCACCTCAGTAACAAAAGACCGTCTTCCCTCGTAGTCGTACTCCCAGCCATGTTTGCAGCTGATTGTGGGAGTTCTGCTGAGGTCCTCCAGCTCCTGTTTGTCACAGGTGAGCTCAGTAGCATTCCAGTCCACCTTGTACTGCTCACAGCTGCTCTGCTGACCAGAGCTGTTGTCCAGAGGTACTGTGAGCCTGCGACTCTCTGCCAGGTTCCAACCGCATGCCTCTCTCCTCTCCACCACTGCAGGGTCTCGACACCAGTGATCAGGGGTGAAACCCTGGAAGACTATCCCGACATACACACCTGCCCATGGCATGGACACCATACACAGCAGGATGAAGATACGCTTCTGGCAGCGGCCAAACTTCCCAGCTTCTTCTAAGATATCATCAAAAGTGGTCATGATTGTAGAAGGGTTTCTTTACTTTAACCAGCTGCAAAAAACACTCAGCCGGAGTCTAATTTGTATGCTGAGCTTCCCTCTGCAGAGTGCCCATTGAAATGCACATGCACTGGGTTTTTAAACAGCACAAGAAGGAGCAAAGGTCCATAGAAATGCGTTGGTACTGCACTGCCTGTTCCCATAGAGCATTAAAAGACGTTTGCTATCCAATTTACTGACGTCAGAGCCCAGCAGAACGTCTGCTTTGGGGATTAATTTACATAAATTCATCAGCGTGGACACATTGGCTTGGACGGTGACACAGTGATGATGTTTAATCAGTTAACATTTAAGAGGTACTTCATTGGAATCTGTTAGACATTAAGAACTGAGAAAGATAAGATCAGAGGAAAGAAAGTTGAGTTTCTTGAGTCTTTTCAGACAAGTCTAAAGAACTTTGAGGCACGTTTAGTGTCAGTCCAAGTTAAGTCAGTCAAGTTAAGCCTGAATCTTGACTTAACAGGATCAAGATTTAATCTTCAAGACAAGCTCGTGTGTTGCTGGAAATCCTTTTGAAGACAGATCAAACTAAGACTCAAGTCTTAACTAGTGTGAAATCATTTTAAGCAACTTGAAGCCCAAGACAGGATCAAGTTATTGAAAACAAGAGCAAAGGATTCCCCCCCCCCAAATTCTCCTACCTCATTGTACCTGAAATATTTTAATATTTGCATAGGTTTTAGTCTCAGCTTTTTTGAGACAAATTTTAAAGACCTAAGACCTATTCTTGGATAAAACCTCATTTTACCCAAGAATAGATGTTGGGAAGTCTCATTCAAGACAAGTTCATTTCATTCAACGTTCAAGGCTCATTCTTCTTTCATACGGTAAGTCAGTCCAGACAAGATTAGATGACAAAAATAAGTTTCAAATTATTGAGCACAAGCCAGATGTCAGGACGTCTTCAGGTCAAATCTCAAGTTCGTCCAAATAAGAACTTAATTGCAATGTTGCCAAAGTTGACTTTTAAATAATTTCTTTTAGAAATTTTGTCAGACATAAAATGAGATTACACCACAAAAGTAATAAACAGCAGATCTCTTATTTATTCAAATAATGCAATATTTTACATATTTTTTATTTTAAATAGGAAAACAGGCAAAGAGCTGAAAACATCAAACATAACCTTACATCAACTAAAACATAATGATGATATCCCATCGTACCAAATCATTGAAGAAAGTTTCTTGTGCTTTTTTTCCCTCTTTTTTCAGTTGGTTTGTCTGCTGCTTGATGTCAGTCTCACATACTAAATTTGTTTCATCATATCCAAATGTTTCCACGACTGTGGACAAAAACAAACAAACAAAAAAAGCACAAGAATGTCCAGTAATAACTTCAAGAAAGAGATGGTTCAGTACAGTACCATGCAGATGAGCCACGGGAACTTTGGTGCAAAGCAGAAACAAATTTAATGCAACAATGAACAAATAACTTCACAAACTTTACCTCCTGCTACTCTGAAATGAGGAGTGCTACAATGTTGAGACTCGGGAGAGATGACTACAAAGTGCCAAACACAGACACTTTCAATTCACCTCTCAGACTAACAGGGTCAGGATTCTGGTAAAAAAACTTTAAGAAGAACAGCTCAAGTTCATATAGCAAAACCACACGCTGAATGAACGAACACGTAAAAGGAAAGTTTATAAAAAGTCTTCGTTACAATCATATTTTATGATAAATACTGATCATAAATATTTCACCTGTTACCAATGTCATTGTCATGTTTCTGGAAACCTGACCATGTGCCGTGTACTCTCATTCTTTAAGCTGTTAAAGGTAGATACACTTGCACTGTTCAGAATTTCAGATCAGTAGCACAATAATATGATTATATGCTAAGAGAGTTTATTAAGAGAGTTTTAAAATGTCAAAAGCTGCTTTGGAAATGTTCAGTTTGTAATCAGAGAGAAACAGAAAAAGTAAAAGGAGGAGTGCGATCTGTTTCTACTCTTTGCTATCACAACACTCCTCGAACTCCTTTCTGTGAAGTACACTGAAGTTTACAGTGTAAATGACAATTATTTTATTAAATGCTGTTTCTCGTTATTTTATCAGTATTTTTTGGGCACGTGGCATCATACAAAAACGCGCTTAACAATTATGTGTACAAAGCTTTAGAAATACCCTGAATGGCAAATCTTTGTTATTGAGGTTTTAGCAATAAACTCACATTTGAATACTGAGAAAACACAAATATTAATCTACACCAGCAATGCAACGGCAACTAATGTGATGAATATACGATCAAGGGCACGGTTTTTTTTTAATGGTAGTAAATGTCAACAAATGCACTGCAAAGTGATTTAATTAAGCTCGGGATTGTTCACCTCCTTTCCCCAGTTGGAGAAAATGAGAAGTTATTACTGATGTACAGAGATAAAGATTTATGCTACCAAGGGCTGCAGCTCACCCCTTCCTGGTTATACAAGCAGCAACACAGTTTTCAGATATATTTTTTGTTCCAATTACAAGGCTGAAACTCAAAACTTATTATTGCCAGTGAAAGCAAACAGTTGTTTATAGTAGAGGAGTCAAAACCAAAGAATAGTACAGATTATTTTAATTAAAAAATCGTTTTAGCTTTAAATGTGCCTCCCTGTTAGCAGTAATTAGGCTAAATCTTTAGACTTGATGTCTTCAGGGAGTTTGCAAAGTTCAGTCAATTTGACCAACCAACCAAATCTGATTAATTAGTGGAAACCTACAAAATAGACTTTCAGTTTGTTTTTTTTTGTTTTTTTAAACGATTTTCAAAAAGTCCACCTTCCTTTATGAGGGTGTGCTACTTTTCTCTAAACCAATTAACTGGAGAAAATTGAGATTAACAGCAGCTATTTTATTGGTTTTCAGCTGCTCTGCACATCAGAAAGAAGAGTGAAGTGAAAACAGAATAATCCAACCTAATTGTTTTTGTGATGATCATGTGTCCATAAAATCACCGTATTTGAGGTGCGTTTGTTTTGTAAAATCACCCGGTCTGAGCTCTAACTGTTGTAGAAAAATCAATCTCAATCATGCTGTGTTTACACTGTGCAAGCTTACAGATTTAATTACTCTCATGTGGAAATATGGCATAAAGTAGGTTTCCATTATTACTGACATCCTCTGTGAAAAAGCAAAACATCCTGCATTTTAGTTTCACTACCATCTTTTGCATCATGCATTTGGCTGAACAGGGCGGATTTCAGCACTACGAAAAGTTGGCTTCACTTTTCACGCAGCAATCAGATCTGAGTACAACAACCGAGCCTGTAAAGTACAAGAGCACACGAGCAAGAAAAAGAAAAAAAAAAAGAATCGATTTCCCTACATTAGTGCCAAGGGTGGCAGTAGAAATATGGCTTTAACAGGACGGGAGGGGACCAAATCAATCCAAAGGAACGCCTCCAGTTTCACTTTCAACTTTCTTCAACCATCCATTCATACTTAAGGCCATCTCCATTTTCACACAGAACAGAGAAACAAACGTAATCAGCTCGGACGAGCCGTTAAATAATCACCAAAACAAACATGTGAACAATTCACCGGTGAAGACTATAAACGAAACGTCCATATTATAGAACATTATCATCTATTTACAACGTCTCTGATCAAATCAAGACAATCAAAGAAATTCAATCCGTTGCTGGACATGATTCATAGATGAAAATGCAAAGTAAATTCATCAGTATGAAGGCATCGTGCTTTCTTTTCGAGGGCAAATAAGGGGAAAAACGGGTCTGCTATAAAAGCAACTGTAAATAGCACGAAAACAAACTGGTGTCTTCATTCCCTTTTTAGAAAGAAGCTGGCACCTTCACTGCCTAAGCTATGGGAATAAATCTCATGACAGTTTTTTCATAAAGTACCTGCGGGCCAATGGAGAGCAAAGAAACAACTCCAAACAGGAAAAAAAAAGTCTTCCTTATTAAGTACCTTCACACAGTCCACAAGCAGACACACAGCCAGTGTTAGTACCATTAATCAAGGTAGGAAAACAGCTTCAGTTCAAAACACCAGAAGAAAATAGAAGATACATATATAACTTAATTTTCATTCACATCTTATCATGCCTCATTTCAGTGATGATATCAGATTTTCCCTTCTTGTAATGATAGTGTTGTGGTATCATTGTTTACTGTTTGGTGCATATGGTTATGGTGACATGTCTAGTTGACACATCAAGCTGGAAATCACATTAGAAAGAAGCTTTGTGTGCTCCCAGAGTCGATTTTAAGAGCTGGCCTGTTCGTTCTTCATCAGACAAATGTGGCAAGGCTGAAGTATCGGGATTATGAAAGACAATATGGTGGAGTTCAAAAGAACCTTAAGAACACTTTAAATGAGCTGTCAAATAAAAATTATATGTGGACGGTGAACTGGACTGAGTCGGTGTAGGCCGAATGAAGGTGCAGCCCAATAAAAATATATCCCTAAAGAAAGGAAAGGTTTCTGTCTTCGGTGTGTTGTTGGCATTTCACTGTTGCTATTATGGAGACATTCACTGAGAGAGAAGAGTTCGGATTGGATGGAGAGAACCAGGAAGGACAGAGTGACATCACACCCTGAGGAGGTCCTCGTCACTGTCGTCTTCTTCCCGTTTCTTGTTCGCTGCCGTGTTGTTACCGTGGTTAAGGCCAGAAGAGCGAGGTTTGCTGCTCTTCCTTTTCCTATCTGACTCGTCCAGGAGGCCCACCAGGTCCTCGTCGCTCTCCTCCTGAAATGAAAGACTTCTGTGAGCAATGGGTGCAATCATTGCTACCATGAACGACTGAGATGATACCAGAGAAAAAGACAAAGAACTGACTTGCAAGAAGGCGCTGCGATGAGCCGTAGAGTGCTTAGCGAGTCCTGACGATTTTATCACACGTACCCCGGGGACACTCAGCACCTCGTCCTCGCTGTCGTCATCCTGATCGTCCAGCGAGAATGACCGCAGACCCTCTGTATTCACAGGCTTGGTCGTGATGTGACCGTTGCTTTGGTTATTCTTGCCACGGTGCAAAGACGATGAAGATGTGGGAGGAGCATCGATCTCCTCCATCAGCCATTCCATCTCCTCCTCTCCTCCTTCATCTGTGCTGACCTGAGTATTTAAAAGGCACAAACAATAAGATGCATACTAAGTTTTTACTCATCTACATGGTTATTTAAAAAAAGCTTCACTAGAGTATCTGATTTGTAGCATGCTATGGCTTTTTGAATATTCGCTAAGCTATAAAAATAACCTTAGTGTTTAATCATTAGTCATGTAACATGTAATCCTTAAGTTGTCCTTTTTTATTTATTAATATGATTACTTTATCACTTTATATTATTACCTTAAGAAAAACTTAAGTCCAAGTTCAGGTACAGCTAGAATATGACACGGCAACCACAGCTTCATACAGCCATTTCAAAGTGGGCGTGGCTGCACCAGTGAATACTCAGATGTCTTTGCTGAAATTGGAATAGTGTATTCTCGCACAAATTTAGTTGTAAACGCAGACTCGACTCCACTGGTTACCAACTGGTTGTGCTCTGGTTAGATTTCTATATAAAACCAAAGTTGCCACAAAAATAAAGCTGCTTTGTCATTTGGCAATTTGTATTTAAATCCATGTCCTGCAGCTGCTTCATTTGTGCAGGCATTTGTTAATTTTTCTTCTGGCTGGACTCTGACTCTTTAAGGAGTTGATGTGAATTTCTGAGTATGTAGACAGCAACAGATTTGTGATTTTCGCTGATTTATCACCGTTTATCATTGTCAGAGTCCAGGCATTTGCTAGCTTTTCCCCATTCAATCACAAGCTGATAGCCTTGATGCACCAACGTTGCTTTGAATGCAGAAACTAACTGCGAGTGGTAGCACAACTGGTCCCCACCTTTGAAGCAACCATTTCAAAGGCAACAAGACTGACAGTTAATTGCTCCAAGTTGAACTCATTTGGGTTGTGCTGCTTTCTCCAGCCATTATTAGCCTAGGAGTGGCTGCAGCATAACATGTTCCTTCTCTAGTTACAAGTTACAGAAACCCTTTAAATAACATGAGGGATCATGTTGGAGTCGGAGTTTTGAATTATTTTGTTTGTTTTGTTTTATTGTGCCATTTGTTATTTTGGCCTTGGCTTCACCCTGAGCAGCAGCTTTATTCCCTGTCAGTGCCAGTAACCCACTCGTGACTCTTCCTTGCGTTATGCTTTCTGATCTTTAGACCGGGGAAAATACAAAGTAACTTTGAAACTCGTTCATTCATTAGCTCAACCAACCTTGGAATATTTATAGGAGACTTGGTTTCCTCTCCTACAACAACCAGCGATCTTCTGCCTCACCAGTTCCCTGGACACAGACAGGTGAGATTATGAAAGAGGCTTTCATACAAAATATATTTTTTTAAAAAAAAATATATATGTACCAAAAATGGATACTCGTGGTCTCACCTCCTCTCTCTCTTGTGCAGCAGAAGCCCCATCAGACACACAATTAGAACCACCAACAGGAGGCTCAGCACCACCCCCATTGCTTGGCTCCGCCTAGACAGAGGCGGAGTGTCTTCACCGTCATCATTTATCTGCCTGTCAACAGTCCTGAAATTCAATCCAGAGAGGAGACTTCAACATATTTATCTAGTGTTTTGTGCTTTTGGGATTAAAGTCAGATTGTATAAAAAAGAAAAAGAAAAAGAAAAGACTCACGTCAGATCACACACAGCGTTTGTGTGCCACACAAACAGATACTGGCAATTGTCCGTCTCCAGCATAAACTCTGGGATGCCGACACCTGCTGACGGGTTACAGTGAAACCTTATTGTGGATGAAACCGTTTTGTTCTTCGCGCGGCCACACTCTGACTCAGAAGGCACTATCACATCCACATTTCCTCCTGATGGAAAAACAAAAACATGTTAAGATGCTGTGACCACTAAATGGAAGGACTCACGCTAAAATGAAATGGCACTTTGTTTCTTATGCAGGTGTGGGTTTTGTTTTTTTTTTTTGCACTGATGTCATTGCCAATCACATGCTTTGCAAAGGGTTTTGAATGATAGATCAAAATCCTCTTCTGTTTACCTTTTATGTAGTACTTGGCTTTGTTGGATGAGCCAATCTTGCGGCTGTAGGTGTCATTCTGTTTCACCTGGCAGATGTTGGCACCAAGACATTTAGGCAGGGATTTATTGGTGATACCAGACAACTGGATGTGGTAGATGTAGCGGTCGCCATTGTTACGAATGTCTCCAGACGCCTGATGGTGGCTAAAAGGCAGAAAAAAACCCAAATGAAACTTTTGTGACAGAAAGAATTTTAGAAGTGCATTTTTTTGCTTGCTGATTGAAACTGAAATTTATATGAGGTGAAGTGTAATGAGTGGATGACACAGGTGGACTCTGTTACCTGAAGTAGAGTGCTCCCAGACTGAAGCTGACTCCAGTTTTAGGAACCTTTATGGTTCCATTTACCATCTGTACCTCCGTTGGTTTCACTGCACAAGCTTCCAGAGTCTCCCAGCCTATCAAGAACTCACATGAACCCTCATCAACCCTGCACAGACAAGAGAATATAGGATATTCAATTAAGAATAAAGCATAACAGGTCTACTTTAAGATGCAGAGGACCAGTTCAAATAACAAAATAACAAAAACAAAACAAGGGCACTGAGACTTGTGGGAAAAAAGACAAATGAAACACAAGTTAAAATTGTTTTAAAATAGGCAATGTAAACAAAACTTTTATGTGAATATACACAGAGATACAGATCAGGAAAAACAACACGTGACAATTTAACAGGAAACATTTGTTGCATTAATTTCAGACAATGTGATGCAACTGAACAACATTTAGTCTGCTGAGAAATGTTATGTTACTCAATTAACTAAAACTAAAGTTTATGAAATAAAGCAAAAAAAAGAAAGAAAGAAAAAAAAAGCTAAAAAAATTTGCTATAATCTTAAAACAAATAAACAGGATAATAAATGATTCAAAGTTTAAACATTCTGTTAATTTGATACAGTAATTTAATACCAATGTTGTATTAAATGAATTAATCAAATTTCTACTGAAGGGAAACATTAAAATCTCTAAAAGAGGTTTTGTTACCTGATAACTTTGGGGTGTCCCACTGTGGAGCCGCAGCTCAGCTGGATTATGGTCTTGGCTTTCTGGCGTTTAGGGCATAATTCATCTCCTGCTGAATAGTTCACAAAAATCTTCCCACCTGTAGAGGAAGGGAAATCTCTTGAGACTGTCGGGATAAAGTTCTCTAACATCAAAAACACTCCTGTGAGAGAAGAAAACAAGACCTAAAGGCAAACAAATATGTCTAATCAGTGATCCTTGCTTACATATTTAACTCTTAGTCTACACTGTTTTCAGTTTATTTTTTATAATAATGGTAGTAAAAAACAGTTTAGGGAAAATATCCTTTACACCAATGAATGTAAAGTATTTGCAATGGTTTGCACACCACTGGACTCCATTTTCTGCGTGTAAACTCGGCCCAGGACTTCGGTTTTTCCTGCTGCTGTGCGGCGGCATACGGCTGCATCTTCAGGACAGCCTGGCAGTCCACCACGGATACCCTGACACAGGTTGATGAAATACCTGAAGCCACAGAAACAAAGATGCAAAATTTTAAAGAGTGAGGAATCATGAGACCACAGCATGCGTTTAGAAATTCTTTTTAAGAAAGGGCTAATGCATCTTATATGAGGCATATGCATTGCTAAATATAAATAGATCTAATAAATAGTGAAAAGTTGGAAAAGCATCAAAAGTGTGTGCAGAACGACTGCAGAGCTCCAGAATCGAACTGTGGATTTACTGCCTTCGATTAAGGAATCAAAACCACACTTACGAATCTCCTTTGTAGCTGAACTTCCACGGCTCAGTGAGGGAGGAAAGTGCTCGGAGGTCAAAGGTCTTATGCTGGCTGACGAGCTTACACTCCATCTTCCTTGGGGTACAAACTGCATTGGTGCGCCACTGGAAAGTGACTGTACAGCCTGCTGTCTCTGAGAGCAGCTCTGGAGAACCACTTCCTACAGAATGGTCGCATGTAAACAATATGGAGGACTGATGCTTAGCCGAGGCTGGGAGAGAGAGGGGGAAATAAAAAGAAAAACAAAAGATTTTCAGTTTTGGAAGTGAAGACAACACAGCATTAGGATAAGTATGTTAAACTATCAGGAAGGAGTTAATGCCTTTATTTAGACAGAAGAAGACAACGAGAAGCCCACCCCCATCCTAAGTTGCCCGAAAATGAGCATTTACAGCTTGATAAAAAAATTGTTTTGTTTTCCTCATTCATAACAGGTGTAAGGACTGGGACTTTAGTTTTACCCTTTATAATAAACTGGTTCAGGTGTGTTGTTAAGGGCAGCTCTCCTCTGGCCTCACCTCCAATAATTTCGAGTTTAAACAGGTATCATCAAAGAGGCTACATCCATCTTTTATATACAGTTCTTAGTTTTGTATTTTTTCCCACGTCAACATGAAGCCACAATTGATTATAAGTCATTTCTCTAAAAGTAAACAAACTAAATCTGACTGCTAAAACACATAAAAATGTTTTCGCCATGCATGAAGAAAGAAAGAGTTTAATCTTTTCAAAAGTGCATCTAAGCATTGCTCTAATCAGAAATATTGCACCTATACAAAATTTATCATTACTTTCCTTCATGTGTGTTGCACTGCTGACACAACACAAGATTAGCTATTCTGTAAAACTTTTATCTGTGCTTTGGACCACTGATAGTGACAACTGCAGTTAGAAGTTAAAATAAAAAATACCAACGTTAAAGTTCATATTTTATAGTAGCCATCATATTTTTTTGTGTGCTTATTTTCTTATTACCCAGCTTTCGTGTTGCCATGTCCCAGCTTATGTCTAAAAGAAACAAACCTCTCACATCAACTCCTCAAAATACTCAGCAACTGAAGGAAGCTGGAGTACCCACAGAGAACACATGCAAACACAGGGAGAACATGCAGGGAAAACTTCCTTAATTTGTTTCCTCTGATAAATGCTGCCATTTGCAAGCTGCGGTGACCAATAAAAATGCTGTTCAGTCATTTTTCTTAAATAAATACTAATATCATTATTGCGAATTTGTATGACATATTGTGTATATTTTGAGGCTGTGAACAATAAAACGTCATTTTCTTTCAGTTTTTTCTTTTGAAGCATTTTTCCCCATTAACATCATACCTTGTTTTTGAGCTAGCTATAAGAGCTTTACTAATTACAGAAGACTTTACCTAGTGCGCAGGGATCTCCTCCACCATACTGCATCAGCACAGCCTGCTCTTCGTGTTTGAAGTCCATTGTCATGGCTTTACTGATGCCAAATGATGACCCCAACTTGTCTGAACCAGAAACGTGGCACACTGCACTCTGCTCACAGGCCGGTACTTCCACTGAGCCGCAGACTTTGATGTGATACGTACCCGAGTTCCCGTTTACCTAGACATACACACAGAGCTCTGACCTTCCTATGCTTCTAAACAAAGAATATTTCTGTTACAGTGAAACCTTTGAATCAAATAGACTTCCTCTGGTTAGAAAGTGTTCAGTATATCATCAGCTCACCTGGACTTCCTTGGAGAGGTTTGACAGGTCAAATGTAAACTGGAGCTGAGAGTCAGTAAGCTGGCAGCCGCTGATGTTAGTGGCATCTGAACAGACTATCGGGGTTGGCCACTCAAAGAAATAGATGCAGCCCTGCAGCCTCAGCATTTGCGGAGAGCCCTGTTCAGAGATAGAAAGTAGTTAAAAAATAACCAGGATAAAGAGAACAGGCAAAAAGTAAATACTCTTATTATATAGCTCTGCTGACCAGCTCGAGGCCTCTCCGGCAGGTAAAGACAATGGTTGAAGTGTAGTTCTGTAGAGGGTCCAAAGCACACTTTGTTGAGCTGTTGTAGGTGATGGATACCTCCCTTGTTAATTTGTTGAGCTCTGGACCACGGGTGGTGCGACCAATTTCCTTCAAGAGACAATAATGAAAATTATTATTTTATTAACATTAAGTCCTTGTGATGTCACTGCCTTGGTAAGGCAGATCAAAGCAATTAAACTTTTTTTTTTTTTTTTTAAATAGTGTAAAGGACAGCATTTGTCAAAGAACTCACCACAGGTGGTCCGTCATTTGGATCCATGCAGACAGCGGCTCCAGGTGGGCAGTTGACCCCAGGGATGGGGTTTAGAGGCTGGCAGATGTTGACGTAGAAGTCTGGGTTATCCGGGTCAATGTCGTCATCTATTCTCAAAGGAGGAACATGCAGACTGTTAAGGACTGACACAGTGCATATTGTTGTACAGGGACTCGTCATTTTAACTCAAAATGATGCAACTCTGCTATATCTATAGGTGTGAGAGGTGAACCTGTGTCTCACTGACCTGTTGCTGTGTAGTATCCGCTGACATGAATCAGAGGAGTCAGGTCTATGAGAGCAGAGCCGTTCTGGACTGAACAAGTTACCTTTTTATTAAAGGAAAAGCAGAAAAGAAAAATCCCTTTTTAGAGCACAAAACTATACTGTAAGTCATGAGCCATCAAACAATTACAACTTTAGAGTCCAGGAGTTCAACCATGTTTATTTTCTAATGTTACCAAACTTTTAGAGACTACACAAAAGCTTCAGGGACATCTGCTTATCATTGGACATTCCCCGCTCCTTTGATGACCCCAAGAAGCTGACTTCAGGTGACCTGTCTGCCTCTGTTAACTTAAGTTTGCTTCTCTCTGAGAAATTATGTGCCATATTAGGAAAGAGCACACCCTGTTTTCCAACTGAACTGCAGTATGTCAAAACAGCTTTTCAACATAAAGGAAGCACTGCAACAACAGGCTGTATTGACTGTATGCAGTCTTTCTGTCTAAACAATTTTCTCCCTCATCTGTGCAGTGAACAGTAAGCAGCTGGTTATATCACAGCAAACACAAACACGCTATAATCATTTATGATTTTTCATCAGCTGTGAGGCTGTAGCTCAGGCCGTATAGCAGGTCGTCTACTAATCTGAAGGTTGGGGTCTGCATGTGTGCATGTAGTGACACCAAGGTTCACTCTGTTGCATCCATTGGTGTGCTAATTGTTAGCTAGAAAGCACTTAAGGTGCTTGTATGAATGGGTGAATGAGACAAGCGCTTTGAGTACTCATGGGAGCTGGAGTAGTTTTTATACAGCACTTTTCTACTTAATTTACTACAAGGGGAAAACACTAACTTTATTTATTTTTAAATCTTATTACAAAAGTACATTCCTTTTCCACCTGTGATGGACTGGTGAGTCTTCTCTCACACAAACATACTTACAGGCTGCTCACAAACCAACGGTGTGTGGAAAGCGAAGAAGTGCGTGCACATTTCAGTGTTTGAGCCAATCAGCACTGGCTCTGAGGGGGCTGAGCTCATGCTAGCTGGCCTGCACAAACACAAAACATTCAAACAAACAAACAACATTCACTCGTTTATTCTTAATAAATATATTAAAATCACCAAGGTTGCATTAAAAAGGCGTTTAACAAATCTGTAAATACTTGTAGTGAGTTTACTCTTATTTAAAAGATGAAGCACTACTTCATCAATAAAGCTCTCACACTAGCTTTTCCATCACTACCAGATTCTGAAATAAAGGATTAATTCAAGTTAGTTTTATATTTAGGAAAATTGGAGGAAACAAATGACACACAGTATCACGATGTATACAGGTATGAATTTTCTCTTAAGGGGCACTTTAAATCTCAGTTTGCTATTCCTGAACAACGCAGGTTTGAGAAAATGTGATTCCTGAGAATGCTCTATGCTTGACGTAGTTATAGATGAAAATTAAGATGCAAATGGAGAAAAATGTACCTGCAGATGAAGCTGATGACGGTGCTGTGGGTGAGGCTACGGTTTGCAGGGCATGGACTTCCTTCTTCATAGGTGAGCTCCAGAACATGGTCCTTGTATGAGAGCTTATTGCTCACCTTACCACCACTGACCACATCACTGCCTTCCTTAATGCACACAGCTATAACACATATTCATGGAGATCATTCAGAAAGCTTTAAATGTAAAACACAAAAATATAAATATTCCATAGATCTGTTCTACCAGCTGGAAATCTGCTGAACGCTCAAAGTTTTTTGGGAAATATTTATATTTCTTAGCGAGTGAGTGATCAAATTCAGCTCAGACTCTGGGATTCATTTTTATTATTACTTTAATTAATAGTATTTTTTTCAGGACTGCAAATATATCCCATTGTTGAGCATTCGAACCATGACCTTACTGCACTTGTATTGCCACATATTATTCTCCCCCACTGTGTATCTGATGCTGATTAAACATTTCTTAGCATAGCCATCATCAGTTACAAATCCAGACCATTTTTTAACTCTCTGGTAAGCGAGCGGTCAATAATTTGAGAGAACCTGGAAATTCAAGTGTCTGTTTGGGTTTCATTCGTTGCTTGTGTTGCAGACAAACAGTTATGACGTTCTTGGCGTTTCATAAAGTTTCTGAATATCTATCAAGACTAAACAGTAACCAGATGAAAGTTGAAGGAAGCAATCTCTCCTAACTACAGAGGCACTTTGTTTTTTTTATAAAGTAACTGACTGGTTAAAAGCAGAACTGATTGCCTGAAAGTGACTCCTGTATACACTCTGATTCAATGATGACATAACAGAGACCTCTGATCGTCTCAGTGACTGAAGAGGAATGATCTGCTAGACTTCCATCGACATGATTGCACAACAGAGTCAAATTTATCTGCTGCGCCAAATTGTATAATATTCAACTGAGAGAGGCCCTGGACCAGAGAAATATGTGAAGCAGCATACCAAAAGCTACCACCACTGCTGATTTTTCACAATTCATAGAATTAAAATAATCCAAGTATACTTCTCAACTTGGTAGATCTTTCATTTCTTTGTAATCAGAAATTGGCTAATATAATCCAGAAATGTGGTGCGGCTAAATTAACAACTCGCCGATTGCAGTGACGTACCAGTGTCAGGGCTGCAACCAGTGTTGGCCACAGATCCACAGATGTTCATGCGGAACACCATCTTCTGGTCCTTATGATGGTGCACAGTGTAACCCTCATTCTTCTTCAAGGGGTTCAGGTCAAATAAATGACCTATGGAAGAAGTCATGGTTTAGCACTGCGGCTATTTAGAAATAGATATTTAACTTGTACACATCTTTACACACTCTTCAGAGAATACCAGAGATCAGCAGACATAAAGAGGAATAAAAAGGGAAAGCAGATGCTTTTTGAGAACTTAAATTTAAATGCATATTACCATAACATTCTCCTTTTATTACTCCAGCAGGTATATCAAAATAAACAAAGATGATATGAGGAGAAAGTGTGTGTTTCTGACCTGTAGCAGGGTTGGTGACTCTGCAGTTGTCATGCTGGACACTATTTAGAGGGCAGGCAGCAGCTGTTTTCCACATGAAGGTGTACACACAGTCTTCAATGTCAGAGATCAGAGTAGGCCGAGAGTTCTATGTGGGGCATATAAATACATGTTTTTTTATTTTTTTTTATATTTTAAAATAACTCAAATTTGGACCCTACGGGGGAAAAGCAGTAAGCCTCTTCTACATGGATCCTACATTCCACCTCACGTGTGGTTTAGAAAGCCATTTGATGCTCAACAAACTGTTTACTGCATGTTTTACAGCCTGACTGCCACCAAACATTTTAGCTGACCATCTTTTGAGTACAGTTCTTACCACTTTGTTTTTGTCACACTGGAAGCGGATAATACTGGTCCTGTTGCGGCTTCCATCTGAACAAGCCTGGCCGCTGGTGTACTGCAGCATTAGGACATTTCCGTCCCAAGTAGGACCAGAATGGACCTGACCCAGACTCCAATATTCATCTCCAACCTTCAGGCATGACGCTGCAGTGGAGGGACACTTCCATGGGTCTGTAGCAAGGAGAAGGATTTTCAGTGGATTTCAAGACATAGAAATTTGGGCCAGAATTATATTTAAACTCTAAACCAGAGGTAGATGTAATGACATTACTGTATCCTTTACACCAACCTTTCTGCTTCACCAGCGACCTACAGACGTTAATGTAATACTGTTTATTCGTGTCCCCAGTGGGAAGTTCCGCCTCCCAGTTCCCAGAGTCCATAGCCAGAGGTGAGAGGTCGTACGAGCGACCCTGATCATCACTGACAAGAGAAAAGGAAAAAAGGAGAAAATTCTGAACTGTGGTCCTTTCTGTAAATGATAATTAAATTCTACTAAGTTACACAAACTACATACACTATAAGAAAAAAAGAAGTCCGTGTGTTGGAGTCAAATTGTTAAATGTTGTCATTGTGTTACTTAAATTTGTAAGTCTTAGTTCAAACTGTAGGATCAAAGACGTTCCTTTGTCACCTCTCCAGCCAGTTTGTTGCTGGGGGAGGCTGAAGTGTTTTATTGTAGGGATCTATGTGAGGGTTCTGTTTGTTGCTTAGTAATCTTCCTGCTTTTATGATCCTTTTGGTGAGCAGGAGGTCACAAACACGCACCCCCAAACACACACACACGCCCCCCCAAACACACACACGCCCCCCCAAACACACACACGCCCCCCATATTAAGTAAGTGAACAAGCGACTACTTTTAAAGTAAGCCAAATAATCATACATCAAGTGGGTTGAATGACACTGCCCCAAACACACACACGCACACCATATTAAGTAA